ACTGCAACCTCTCCTACACCCGCCTCTTCCTCCACCCCTCAAACATCTGTCCCCTCTTCTCCTACTCATTATGTTTAATGTTTGAAAATAAATGTGCTAGACATCAGAGCTCCTACTCATTAGAAAACCTTTGTTTCTCAGACCTCCACAATCAACTCCAATTCAGAAACTCCAGAGTTTATTCAAAACTATCCAAATCATGACCCAGGATAACATGCCTACTTGTCATCCATCCTTCACTCTCTCTGGTTCTATTCCCTCTTCACACAAAATGGCTGCCGACATCCATTCTCCTCCTACTTATGTTCCCCATATTCTCCCACTCCCTCACAAGACATCTCCCTATTCCTTCTGTGTTATCCCTTCGGCTTCCTCCTGGATACACATGTGACCCTTTTGTCACAACCCCCTTCTGTGGATTCTCTCCCACATAATCCTCCTCAATCACTTGCTTGTTGTTGTCATGGAAGGGCTTAGGGGGGACTGTTTATTTCCCCAACATAGTCAAGGCTTCCCATGGCCAGTAATGAAGATGTAATACCCTTATTTGGGGCAATGAGGCTAGCCCCTTTATCAAATAGCCCCACCAATTCAAACTCTCCCGGCTCCCCAACCCTAGGCTCTCCTTTGACCACGACTCTAAACACTACAACTACTACCCATGCCTCAATGCCTACTAATGCATTATCCAATCAAGTTGAGACTCAGTCTCCAGAAGACATTCCTACTCTCCCACCTTCCTCAACTTCATCACCTCTACCCCACAACCTTCTTCATCAATCACTCCATCTTCTCTTATTACTACCTTACAGCCTTATTCTCCATCTCTCCGTAATACTATCCCCCTCAACAATACTCCGTCTTCCACACGTCCCCATCCTTCTACCACCCCCAACTCTACAATTGCCATTAAATACTCTATTTAGCCCAGCCAATTGGGACCAATTTTTTGTGATCCCTCCTACAGCTCCTTACTCAGGCAGAGTAAGAGTCCCTTTCCGTACCCGATCTGATCATTCCCATTTTGTTACAGTTACTTCTGAAACTGAAGCAATAGCATTATCAAATGTAACTGATCTCTCTGGCAACCGCATTCCTGCAGAACCTCATCCAACTCTTAATACTTGCACCAGAACTGTCTCTATCCCCAGCAAGCTACCCTATGGATATTGATTGGTCAGATTGTGGAGAAAACTTACTCAGCTTTAAAGACGTGATGTGATATCAGTATATTGCATACTCCATTCCTCCTACAGGTCATTGAAAGAAATCCACCAACATTGCCGAAATTACTTTCCATACACATGACCTTCTTTTTCATACCTACATTGGTGGACAATCCCTCCCTGTTCGCCAATACCAACCTCCTCCCCGTCAATGTAAAAACTGTTGGTGCTTTGGACATCCTGTCAAACACTGCCGTTCCACAGACCAATGACCCCTATGTGCCCAACCCGGTCATAACCAATCAAACTGCTCTGCACAAACACGCACATGTGCTAACTGCGGTGGCCCCCATAATGTATTTTATAGAGGCTGCCCCACCTACAAGTTTGAGTCTGAGGTAGCAATTTTCAGATACAAACTTGGTCTCACTCTACGTGAAGCCAGACAAGAAGCACTTCAATGAGGTTTCTCTCATACACCCTACTCTAGTTATGATCGCTCTGCCCTCCCCCTCCAACCAATTCCTACCCCTCCCCTATACCTACTTACTTCCCCACTTCCATTTCTACCTCCTACCTTCTCCATTCAAAGTCTTTTGCCACTCTAAATCCAGACTCTCCAATCTCAACTACAGCCCCAACACCATCCCCTCTCCCTTCCCACACTACCTGCAGCAGACAGACTAAACGTTTTACCGTATCTACCACACAATCACCTCTACTGAACTTTGCCTTTATTCCTCAGACACCAGTCTCCTCTTCCCCTCCTCATAAGAAAACCTTTGTCTCACAAAACTCACTAACCAACTCCACTGCAGAAACTATGGAAGATACTCAAAGCTATATGCTCAAGACACAAAATCCCACAACTCCTGCTCCCTCCACACTTGAAGTGACTGCTGATATCCATCCTCCTCCAACTCATATTCCCCCTACACCCCTTCCTCCTACTCCCTCCCAACACAACCTATCCCCTCAACTCCATCTACTACCAATATCCATCTTCATGATACCCATCCTCCTCCTACTCATATTCCCACTTCCTCCTACTCCCTCCCAACACTGCCCATGCCCCTCAGCTCCAATTACATGTACATTATCCTTCCCTCCATCCCCTCTATCCCTTCCACTCCCTCCTGGATACACACGTGAATCCCTTATGTAATTCCCTTACCTAGACCCACCATAGCCCATTCACACATCAACTTCTTTACCCATCTTTAACCTTTCAATATTACTCAAGATAATTAACACATAGCAACTATTACCCTTCACCCCCCATTAATATACCTTCCTATAGTGCTCTATGACCTTAGATTTCAAGCACATTTATTTTGCTTTTAACCATTAACCATCTCCCACTTGAATTTCTCTTGAAATAACTAATCTAATCACCCTTAGACCCCCTTTCCCCTTTTTGCTAATCCCTACCTTACCGTATGGGCATCCTTGCAGAACATCATACTTTTTCCTTCTGACAACTTTGATATAATCACCCTTTAATTCTCACCTTAGCCCATTTACTTACCCTCTCTAACCTCACCCTTCTTTGCCCCTTTCAATACATTGCTCTATGACTTTAGACATGTAGCACATTTAATTATCAACTTACCCCCCTCTTTATTCAACTACACCTTTCAATAGTGCTATATGACCTTTGATGTCATTAAGGGGCCCTGCCCTAGAGGATTTGCCTCTGGGAGAATCTAAATGGTTAATGATTAATGATTAAAACAAATAAATGTGCTAGACATCAGAGGTCAAATAGCAACAATAGAAACAAAAAAAACTAGCTGTGCTTCCTGTCTGGCCTCATACAGAGTGAGGCCTATTGTGAATCTGAGAACTGCTACCTCATATTCAAGCTTATAGGCAGGGTAGCTCCTATAAAATACTTTATGGAAGCCACCATAATTGGCACATGTACATGACTGAACAGGGGAATTTGAACAGTCATGACCAGGTTGGGCAAATAAAGGCCAGCAGGCTGTCGAGTGACAGTGTTTGGTTGGGCAGCCAAAATGCCAACATTTCTGACATTGACAAAGAAGAGGTCGACATGGTCGGACAGGGCAGAATACTCCAACAATATAAACTTTATAGGGGAGGCCATGTCTACAGAAGCTATCTTAGCAATATTGGTGTAGGACTTACACTGGCCTCTGGGAGGAATAGTGTAGCATTGTAATGCCACTGAATCATAATCAACAAAGCAGGCAAGTAGGTCGTTTTCACAGTTTGACTAGTTCTTGTCATAGATAAGACCATCAGTCAGGGAGAAGGAAACCGCTCTGGTACAAGTATTAAGAGAGGAGTGAGTTTCACAAGGAATAGGTTTTCCAGTGAGGTCTGTCAGAGTAGACAGTGCATGAGTTTGGGACTGAGGTGTAACTGTGACAAGGTGTGAATGATCGGACCAATTGCGAAAAGAAACTTTGTCTACTTGTTTTTGGAGACATAATTGGAAGAGAAGGGTATTGTCAAAGAGGCTGTGGGAGGGAATCACAAAGAATCAATCCCATTTGGATGGGCCAGAGTACAAAGGTTTTTAGAGGTGGTAATTGTAGTAGGATGAGAGCGGGAGGAAGTTGGAGTGGTGTGGAGAGAGGTAGTACTGTAGGGAGGACAATATGGATGAATAGTAGTAATAATGGGGAAGGGAGTAAACAATGAAGAAGACTGCGCAGTAGGAGATGGAGTGGAGAATGTTGGGAGAAAGGAAGGAGTCCATTCTGAATTTTGAGTAATAACCTGGGTAGGTGGTTTGGAATGGATAGAGTTGTCAGTAAACATGGAGGAGGGAGTAATAGTATCAGTGGTCAGAGCTGTGGTCAAAGGAGAGGCAGGGGTCAGGAAACCAACAAAATCAAACTTAGATAGGCTAGTTGATCTCCCCTAATCATGTGCCCACTGTTGCCAGGGGGGGTCTTATGAGACAGAGACTGAGGCCCAATGTGGGGGATCACCCCTACCTTGGACTTCAGCCCTCACCTCAATAAATTTTGCATGGTCCTTTCCTCTCCACCTTTCTTTTTCCTTCTCTTCATCCCCTTCTTCTCTCCACATCCTAAAGTTTGGGAGTTGTGCTGAAAAGATGAAAGGCTGGCTTTTTGTCCAAGGACTATATAAGTACTTATTTAGATCTTGATTGTCAGTCCTGAACGGCCTTCATTTTCCATTTGTTCTTCCCTCTTAACTTTTTTCACTACCATACTAACCTACAGTACTCAATATATGTTAGATGTCAAAGGTTGTAAACTTATTCTTAGCATTTTTGCCACAATACTTTCTCATAAAACTGTATAACCCCCCACCCCATGACAACAATGAACAAGAAATGGGGGGGGGGGTAAAATGAGTTAATAATTAGAACTAAATATGTTAGAAGTCAAAGGTTGTAGAGTGCTATAGGTTAGTATGGTAGTGAATAGGGTAAAAGGAGAACAAATGGAGTACGAAGGCTGTTCAGGACTTACAAGTCAAGCCTTTCATACTTGCCTCAAAAAAGCTCGCTCTCACTTTCTTTCTATTCCTAAATTTCTTTGTTCATTAACTGAATTACAACCAAATTATACCAGCAGGTATTTCCTTTGAAAAGCATCCAGTATGTTTATATGTAATATAGTCACATGTCAGTTTGTTACTACATGACTTTGTTTACCGATTACCTAACAAGAAGCTTCTTTATTATTAACTAGGTTGCAGTTAAAGTAACACAGTTCTATTTTATGTTTATTGGAACAATGGTAAAAGAGCATACAACAAGAAAATGACTTTCATATAGTAATATCTTCTATCAAGGACCTGTTTTCACAAAAATTGAAAAAATATATTTCCTTTTCCTATCCAAAAGTAACATTTTCAATTTTTGGAAACAAGGGCAATCCATTAACACATCACACTAAATTAATTGTTCGCTCTTCTTGCTACAGTCTCCCCTGACAGAACAAACCATACTCTCCCGGAATTTCAGAGTATGTATCCTTCAATGTGTTATTATGCCTTTGTGATTAAACCTGTTTTAGAATAAATACTCCATCAAACAAAACCTTAAACACTGTCTTAAGTAGACGCAAAGTTGAGGAATGCTGGCACGATACCCCAATTATCAATTGACTGTTGTATTTACTGCATTTTGGTGTCTGTGAGGCCAACAGCTCGTGCTCCCAATCGAGCCACCATCGCCAAGCTGTTGAGAGATAGACCATGAGGTGTTATGCCACTGAGTCTCTTCATCAGTGTTAGTTTTTCAGAAAAATCTATTAAGTGACAAAGAATAATAATAACAAAGTAAAAAAAAAGTATAAAAAATGTTACATTACTATATGTTCACATTAAGTACACTTAGGTTGATATGGCAAAAAGAATTTGAAATACATTCATATATCAAATCGGCCGATAACAATAACAATGAAAATGCTAAAAATATCATAACTGAATATAATCACTGAAGTAAATCTAAACAATTCCCAAACAAACCAATCAAAAAGATCCCAATCAAAATACAAACAGAATGCAATGCCATATGCACCACCCCTTTCTACTCCTTACCTCATCACGGCAATGAGCCCTGGAGGCATGAACTTTCCCGAGTTGAGGAAGCGCATGCCCATGAGGCCTCCAAGAGCTGTGCTTGTCCCTAGGGTGAGGTAGTAGTTGTTGGGGTTCTCACTCAGTTGGTAGGCCCCATAGCCCAAAACCGAGCCAAAAAGCAGACCAGCTCCTAGGGACGGAATGCTGCCTGGAAATTTGGATAATGTAGGATAAATTAGAGAAAATTTCACAAGAGCTGGTAGAAGAACACTACTATTATCTTAATTTGGAAATGGAAAAATGATTGTAATACAAATGATAGCTTAACACATCAGCGACGGGTAAAAATTTTGTCAAGTTTACGTATGCACCGGCTTGTTGGCGCGCACCGGCAGTTTCCCCTGTTTGCACCTGGATCGATCGGTAGTTTGCGAGCAACATATAGCACCTAAAAGTTTATTTTGCTAAAATTTATAAAATATTAAATTTTGAAGGTTTACCTTCACTTTAGGTGCCATTCCCTAAAATCTTTACCATATAAATGAAGCCGCTACTACTGGAGAAAAACAACCTCCGTCGACGAGCCAGTAGCGCGGGAATGGGGCATGATGCCCCCGGCGTTTGGTGCATGTACGTATGTGACACCCGCGCCAATGGGTTAATTTGGAAATGGAAAAATGATTGTAATACAAATGAAAACAAAGAACTAACATGAAAAATACTCTATTCATATAATAAAAATAGGCTATAGAGAGACAACTGTTTGACATTCAATACAAAACACATGAAATTGATATGAAAGTGATTAAAAGAAAACCTGCAAAGTATATAAAAAATGTAACAGAGATGTTATTTCCTAATAGCCCTTGTTCCCTTTAAGACGCTTAATAGACCATCAGTACATTGTGTCCATACATATTTTATTGTAATTTTTCTCTCTCTCAGTACCATTTCTTCTGTTAAAGTAAAGTAGGGTCTTTCCTTCTGTATTAGGCAATTTCATATTTGGTAACTTTAACAAACATCACAGCTGGCAACCATTTCATCACCACCACAGAACATGATGCAGTCAGCCCTCCCACGTATTTGCTATACCGATGAGATCACAAAAAATAACATGCAAACATGAACCAGTCCTGTCCTTTTGATAAAGAGGAGGTGTCATGTAAAAATGCTGGACATCTAATGATGATTAATAACGAAATGAAGTAACAGGAAAAGGCTGAATTATTCACATTTGGAAACTTCAAATTTATGATTTTTTTCAGTACCAATTACTTAGCAAACGAGAGGCTTTACTATAGTGAATATGCCAAGTTAATGTTAATAAAACAGATAAACACGAAAATCTTGACAAATGAGTACATAAGGTAAGAATAGGAAAGAAAATTCCATTTCACTCATGATATTAAATCAAGAATCCTTTAAAGAAAAGGAAAATTCTTTAAACAAACTCACCCAATCTGATTCTTTTATATCAATAAAGAGCAAAATATTAAGTTCACTTATATGATTCTTTTCTTTGCCTGTGTACATGTAAAAAAATGGGGGGGGGGGGGATATCAATTTGAAAAAAGAATATCAACAAAACTAAATGCTTTCTAAACCAAAGAATATAAAAAAATACATAGAAACAATGAAGTATAAAAATAATCCTAGAAAAAGGAAGTAATAAAAATATATAAAAAATTATATTTGTCTTTCCTTTATTGTCAGTTATGGACATTCTATTGTGCCCGTTTTTCTCAATTACTATTTACAACTTTAAGACATGATTCACAACACTACAAAAACCAAGATG